TCTACCAGGTCACATCTTTCTGCCTTGAGGAAGGGACCCTGCGCGATCCCGAAACGTCGGTTTATTTGGATGTCTGTGACGCTTTCTGTCCAATAAAAGGGACATATTTATCTTTACTACTGAGTGCTGGTGATTTCCTGACTTTCCTGTGTTTGCACGGCGCCATCCGTGGTATCTCATCACTGCGAGCACCACTTTTTTCATATCTGGCCGGGACTGCTGTGAGGAGTGTGGAGGGTCTCTCCATCTACTTCTACCCGGTTTACAGTCGCGTTTTTTTAAATGGGTTTAAGACCAATTTTCTGCAATTGTTTCAGCTATACAGAAGGATAGACTCTGCACTTTATCCTCCTTGGCTGATGACTCCTCTAGAGCCCCTGGTCACTGGCTAGTTTATTTTCAATGTAATTTCTACTCTTGGCAAATCTTCATAGAGATCTTCCCTTTGAACATTTTTGTATGGGCCATGATGCACCATGTTGCTCGATCTTAACATTATATAGCTTATTACTCTCAACCTCTTTTACGGACCTACCTAAATACATGGAGGACTGGGCCAAAGAGATGTCTTGTGCCTTCTCTACTTCTAATATTTAAAAATCCTTTATTTTGACACAAACTCTCCATTTCTAGGAGGGCTCAAAAACACAACTGCAAGATCCTTTCTAGATGGTACCTCTTCCCTACTCATCTCCATGTGAGCTACCCTCAGGTTTTCAATCAGTGTTGGTGATGCCATTCACAACCGGGGGATGATGCCCCATATCTGGTGGTCCTGCCCTGATGTGAAAAAGTTTTAGTCCATGGTCTTCGACACCTATGATTCACTTACCATCTCCAGGACTAGCCAAACCCCACAAGTGGCATTTAGTCGCATTTAAATGGTGGTTCAACACAGAATCTTTATAAGATTTAATCAAGTAGGAGCTGAGGGGGAGGAGAAAAGCAGCTGGGTCTGGGGACATGCAGTATCTTGTGAGTGAGGTTGGTCACTTCTTGCCAGAAGGGATGGACATGGAGACATTCCCAGAATATATGGAGAAGAGTACCTTGTCATTCAGCACAACACCAACACATGCAGGATGTCAATGGGTGACATCCTGCATGTGTTGAATTGTATTGGAGATAGAAGATTTGTGTGCAAAAACGAGTATGCATTCAGATTCATGCGAGGTAAACTCAACACCCAGATCCTGTTCCCATTGCTTCAAAAACAGAGGAGGAGGGAGTATGGATGAGCCCACTAGATATTTGACTACCATGGCAAGTACATATCTAACTGGGCTGGCTGATACACACATTTTTTTCAAATTGTGTTAAAGGTATCAAGATAGAGTTTTTCTCTTTAAGCAATCTCACATAATGAGAACTTTGCAGAGCCCCTCAGTATTTCAACTGGGTATCTACTGTGGCCTGGATTTGTTTTACTGATCTCTATTGTAGGTTGTCAGTGAAATGGAGAGAGTGTACTCGATTGGCTTCTATAAGGTTCCAAAAATGTGAGCCTCACACTCCTGGAGGGAAATACAGGTCCCCAATGATAGACAACAAGGGTGAAGTTAGGTGAGATAAATGTGGTGTGGGCTGGGTGACCTTCAATGCGCATAGTGGTCCTAACATGAGGGTTAAGCCAGTACTTTATGGTAATTTAGGGGAAATCCAAGGTATGCCACATGTGTCTTGTTCCAGTCCCACCCAGAGTTTACTGTCAGTATTACAGCACTAACCCCCCACTCTCGCAACATGTGCAGCCTTGTGGTATAAACATGGGTCCAGAAATCCTATGCCCCCAGATAGTTTAGATCTAGTTAACGCGCTGCCCTTAATCCATGCCCTTTTATTGTGTCACAGAAAAGGTAGAAAAGCAGAGCGCTTCTTCCTAAGATATGTAGAAGGGATTGCCACAGGTAGGGTCTGAAACACATATAGCAATCTAAGGAGCACCGTCATTTTTAGGATGCTGTTGCGCCCAAACCAAGTGAAAACTGATCGGTTCCACATCTGCTGCTCACCAAAAATCTGCCGCTGAATACAGAGAAAATTCAAAGCATGGGTATTTGAGGTTTGTGGGGATCGATGCCCCCAAATACTTTATATGGGTAATAGCCCATTTAAATGCCCATTTAAATGGAAAACTTGATTGAATTTGCATGCCTGTTGACTAGGAACCAAGATATTCAACGCTTCTGATTTTGAAACATGTATCTTAAAGTTGGAGAGCGCATCATATCTATGCAATTCCAACATCAGGTTTGGTAGAAAGGTTTCGGGTTGGGTAATGTAAAATAGAAGTTTGTCTGCATAGGCGGTTGTTTTGTCATTACCCGACACAGTCTCCAAACCTCTAATGTTGGGAGATATGTGAATAGTGCGAATTAGCGGCTCTAAGGTTAATATCAAATTCAAGGGAGAAAGAGGGCACCAGAGCACGTGCATCTTCTTATCACAAACTTAATTAACATGTTTCTAAAGCAGCTGGAATTCTTGGTAAATGTGATTCATTAACACATGCAATCAAAGTTACAACATACAACACTGTATCTTAAAACAACCATATACTATCTTTGATTTTATTTTGATTATTGTCTTAAATTTAAATGGAGAAAAAGAAGAAAAATACATATAGAAATACACTGATGTTTTGGGACAACTGAACCCATGACAAGAGAGTGTGGCAATGTGCTCAATGTAGTACAGTAGGTCAGTGAAAAATTGACAGGTACAAGCAAAGTTCTGGCAGCACTTTGTTATATATTTCTGTGTTTTTTGATCTGTGTCCAAAAGCCAGAGACAGAATGGCAGATAGCAGCAGCTCAGTTTTACCATTGACAAGATACTGGAGTAAACCACCCCTAATATTGCTTTACGCTTACCTGTATTGTTTACTATAGTGAAAACCATCTAATTTACAGGAAAAAGTTCCAATTAAGTGGAAAAAGTATCATTTAAATTTTTCCTAGGACCACTTTCTTTTGTGAGTGAGGTTGATTCATACAGGTAAAAAAAGTGAAAGGTTTTTCTATTGCTTGGAATGACATAAAGGCGGGCAAAGTTTATACTCTGCATTGTTACATGTGAAAATTATTTATCTAGTGGAACTCACGTTAGCCAGGTCGGGAGCAGTGAGTTCACTATTATTACTAAATATGTGACTCCATCATATTTTTTTCCCAAGTAAAGTGATGCTGAGCACTGACACTTGTGCAATGATAGGATCATGCATTTTCTTCCTTATGTAAGAGGGAGTAAAAAAAGGAGGGAGAGGGAAGGAGTAAAATACCATATTGTGAATACATATTTTGAAATACAAAGTATAATAGGGGTCCGTTTTTTCTTCTCTTTTTCTCTCTCTAAAGGTGCCCATACACCTTACAATTATCTGCAGATTTTCTGTGCAACAGATTGGCCCAGGTGGAGATTACTCCTTCCACACAGTTAAGTGTAGATGGAGGAATCTGTTGCACCTTTTCCATCTGACCACAGCTTTACTTTCAAACTTCAAATATTGTGAACAAGGGAGTCATTGCTGGAAGAACTGACTAAGTTGCAGATAGTTTATAATATATCACAGTTGTCAAAGACTGCTGGTCCCACTCTGACTGACTGGGGTATCTCCATTCAGGGCCACCAGCCCAACATATATTATTTTGAGTAAGTTATTGATCACACCTTGCTAATTTGATTATAAAATTAAAAGCAAACACAACGGTGTTGCTTATAATTATTAGCTTCTTTCACATGTAGTATACGGTTACATACATTGATAAAATCACAAGTTCCTTTATTTTAAAGTGTTACTGATACTACACAGCACACTGAGCTCAAACTATATACTCTTTCAATGATCATACAAGCTGTATTGAAACATATTGAAAGAACTGTAGATTCTCATCTGACAGAAAGCTCACCAAGCATCAGTACAGTGTCACCTGGAGTTGTTTTTGGTTCAAATGTCCACAGGTCCCTTTTTAACACTACACTAGCACTTGAAAAGTGTCCGATGAACAGCTATAATTTTCAGTAAGTGAAAAAAGGCTGATAATCAAAGGCATCGCTATTGTGTCTAGTAGTAGTTTTTTTTAGCAAATTGGCATGATGTGATTGTTAATATGTTGGCTTTATGTAAGGGATTTTCCTGCACAACAGCTGCTTGTTTATTTTCATAATTGTACTATCTGCCACTTACACACCCATATACTGTATATACATTGTAATAGGGGAAATACCTCCCCTACTCCCAGTCCAGTCCTCCCTTGATACCAATGCACACTTGCCATTACTCAATATTTAACTCTTACACTTTCTGATCATAACAAGTGATGTTCAGCTTTATGTTACTTGTATATAGTGCCATGTAGGTGTTGCTTTTCAAAATAGTTATCACTTTTATTATAAGAGAGCCATTTTAGATATTTGCTATGTTTATAAGCACATGAATGGTACCATGCATTACCATACTCGTTTTTGTCTAGGGTGCAAAATAAAAAGGATATACTCACCCTAACCACAGATCCACCTGACTGCTAGACCAGTCCTCACAGCCTCTCTCTTCCTCCTCCTCTCCAGCGATGGAATGCCTTTTGGTGTCCTCATGTCCAATACACTCTACTGGAAGTGATTACACACAGGTATTCAGACTGCCAGGGCAGAGGGGAAGAGCAGCTCCAGGGACTGGTCTAGCAGCCAGTATACTGTATACAGTATACTAGTATACTGTTGGGGTGAGTATATCGTTTTTATTTTACACCCTAGATGAAAATGAGCACTTAACCCTAGTTGTGCGGGGGGTAGCCCCACTGCAAGAGTTAAGATTATTTCTGTCCGGAGTTCTTCTTGAAAGTGTCTCAGTGAACCTGCGTTTGATGTAAAGATAATGTTTTCTTTTAAGATGCCTGCAAATGACAAAAATTGAATGTAATAATCTGGCATTTTGTTTTCTGTAAGCCATGTCTCTGTGATACAGGTAATTTAATATTGTTTCCTCTTTTTTCTTATTGCAGTTTGGTCGCCACCAAAGAAACAGACAGTGCTCGATCTCGTAGTCCACCTATGTCACCATCTGATTTTTTGGACAAAATGATGGGAAGAACATCTGGATACGATGCAAGAATAAGACCTAATTTCAAGGGTAAGCTTGCTTCCTTTTTTGCCCTGTACTATGGCACAAGGTTTATCATACTTTGCTCAGTTGCGTGCAGCCATCCCAACCATTGCATTATATGAAGTACCATCCACGCTATTAAAAATAACCACCCACATGTCCCATCAGCATCAAGTTAGGACTTTGTCCTCTCCAAAATGTCCACTAGAATCCATACTACCCTATACAAATGTTCCTGTGCTATCTGCAACTGGTAGCTAACACTAACAGGGTTATTCACAAAAGGGTGAAGAGTTCTCCTGCGTTCTCCAAACTCTTCACCCTTTTGTGAATAACCCTGTAAAATATTGCATGTTCTCCACAAGACAGGACTGCATAGAAATCCTAAGTGCTGAATTGTTCTACCTATAGTATTGTATGTCCCACTGTTGACATGTTCCATGGGAAACAGTGCTATACTATAATTTTGCAATTATAGCCAGTGGTCAATGTGGTATGACTATTGAAGTGCATAGTGTAGAGGTTTCATTACTAGAGGGTCAGCTAATAGAAGCTAATAACATTTTGCATTTGCATACAGTATAATATTTTCCCTGCTTTAATAATAGCGTGACTATAAAGGTGACATAGGTAGGACATCACGTATGGACAAAACTAACCTCACTGGTTTCATTCATGCATTTATTTGGAGGACGATAGATGATAGTTTCCATTAACCTGAAAGGGAATCTGTGCCTGGAAAAAGGTAAAGTATTGGCCAAATATTATAAGAAACATACCCTCACATTATGATTAATATGTGCATAGGAGTTTAATTTGGATTTTGGTATTGCCCATAAAATATTTTTCTTGGAAGTTCATTCGGGGTCACATCATAACTCTAGTTCCTCCCTGATGGTTGATGTATGCTACTGCTGTGGCTTTGACTGCCTGGATCCTTATTGGATGACATTCCAGTCAAAATACCCAGAATGTTTTTGGGAGCTGAGATTTCTCCAGTGTCCAAGTCCCCTGCACCAACAAGGTGTCTAGGTGCCTCTCCAACCTGTCAGTCTGGCGTCAGTTGTGATTATCTTCCAAGATATCAGAAAGAAGGTTTCCCCCAACTCCATAACTGGATTCCTAAGCCATAAGGCCAGGGATGACATGGTCCTTGGTTTGTCAAGTTTGTCCACAAACTGAAGCAATTTGTCCATGCTGCCAAGATGTTGAGTTGTAGGGGCCTGTAGTGAAGCTTAGCAAATGAGACTGCCTTCAAAGAGGCTGCTCTTAAAGAGCTTAAGTCTGGAAGTGGAGAGTTTTAGGTTTTTCTGGTGACTAAAAAACTCTGGCTTGAGCTGTAACCAGGATAAGGAACAGATATTTCAAGTGATGAATCAGTTTAAATGCAAATTTATGAATCTGAAATGTCCACACCACATTGTTGGTCAGGACCTGTGCTGAATATACTCTCACAGAAGGCCATCCAAATGTCCTGGGAGTGTAACAAGGCAAGCATAGAGGCCAGAACCTTGGTGAATATGTGAAGTATGGAAGACATACCAAATGACAGAGCTACAATGCAATTGTTTCTGTAGACGTTTCTAATTTCTACTTTTTTCCTGCTCTTGACTATATAGTTGTAAAACACATGCACACAAGGTCTTGGAAGCTAAGCAGTACAAGGCCTTTCCTTTATCACACACTATATTATTTAATTATAATAGACTGTAGTTAATGATCTGCAAACTACTTATCTCTGCCTCTGGAACAGCTAGCATAGTAATTAAAAGGCCAAAGGGCTATGTAAACGCAGATTTTATTGGCACATCTGAGAAAAACAGCTATTACCACAATATAAACATTTGCATTATTTTCTTTTGAGTATTAAAGAGTTTCATATTGATAACTATATACTTGCTAAACATAAAACGTATTACCTTTCTACATAACTGAAATTTTCTTTAAAAGTTCAACAACTCTGGGCAAATAACATCTTAACCCTTGCAGTGAGTCTACCCTCATTTTGTGCTCCTTTGGTCTAGGCAGCTAAAATAACAGAGTTATACTCAACTGAAACTTAATCCTCCTGTCCCATCGCACTCCTGACCGGACAAAAACCCAAATCCAACTGGGTGGGTGCGGTGGTGACAACGGATGCCTCCGTGAAATGTAGATAGATTAAAGTAGTCGCACTCCATGATATTAAAGTCAATGCTGTTTATTGACTGAGATAACACACATCTTCTTAGCTTATCTCCTCAACAGCATTGACTTTAATATCATGGAGTGACGGTGACTACTTTAATACTCAACTGAATCACGATCCTGTCTGGCTCCTGGAGTGGTTCCTGCAGCCTTGTTCCCCCTCCTCTCCAGCGTCGGAATGTCCATTAGTGTCCTAACATCCTATACTATTTATAGGACGTGATGGCTCAGTGGACTTTAAACCACTGGCGCGAAGGGGTCAGTGAGGCTGAAGGTACCAGTCTACAGCCAGCCGGCACTGAGGTTCAGGTGAGGAATACTCTATTAAAATGATTTTAGTTCCCTAGAAAAAACAATCACTGAACTCTTGCAGTGCAGGGGCAGCCCCCATTGCAATGATTAAGATTGTATTTGCATGGAGTTTTTCTTTAACCACTTGTTAAACCCCCTTCCTGTCCAGGCCATTTTTCAGTATTCAGCACTGAGGTACTTTGAGTGACATTAATTCAGTCATGCAATGCTGTAGTGAAATACATTTTATAAAAAAAATTTCGGGACAGATAGAGATTTCTTTTGGTGGTTTTATACTATATAATGAAAAAAGTACAGAACATTTTGAAAAAACTGTTTTCCCTGCGTTATATAATGAAACATTTATTATGACCCACATTTTTGGTGCATTATAAAAGATGGAGTCACGTCGGGTAAATAGACACCAAACATGTCAAGCCTTAAAAAACGATCATACCCTAAATTGGCCATAGGCGATGCTTTAAAAACTTAAAAAAGAGGAGGGAGCGCACACTGACATGCAAAATACAAGCGATCAGACAGCTCTACAGCTGCCGGAATGCTTGTATTTAAACATTTTCCCGCATAAGGGCACGATGGATGGTGTGCATGAGGCGGGGCGGGAAAGAACGTTTTAAAATGCCCATCTAGAAGGCTTCTGTCGGGCTGTGTATGTATGGTCGCTGGAAGGAAAGCAGTTGAAGTAAATGTCAGGGCAAAAAATCATATACATTATATACACATATACATGAACATTCACTTTACCAATTAAACAATCTTATCACTTTTAGTACATAAACCCCTCTGTGTGTTGGTTTTGTAATCTTTTTCAGTAAACTATTAAAGTAGTATTAAACTCTTAAACTTTTTTTTCAATTATGAATCTAGATCAAACAAATATACATTGCCCAGCAAAGTATTTCTTAAATTGTTTGCCCAAGAACTTAGTATTCATATTTCCAAACAGCTGGCTACAACTTCAGCTTTGCTTCCCTGAATGTCCTGTCCAAAGCAGGATCACAAGGGTCAGCACAGTCTATATACTATCTTGGAGAAGGGAAAAGTGGGGAGTGAAGAAGGAGGAAAGAGGAGAGGGGAGCAGGGAGTAGGGGAGAGGCTTGCCTTGCTGTGCCTGTGTGTTTGTAGAGACACACACAGCGTACTGCAAGCACACACAAGTGGCTCTATAGGACCCTGCAAGGTAAAGCAGCCACCCTAACACAGGATATACGGGCCAATGATCTGGGGTCCAGCTGATTCTGCAGGAAACTAAGGGGGCTATTCACAAAGGAGCTGAAGGATCCAGCCATAGCTTCAGCTGATCCTTCAGCTCTCTTTGGCCGACGGAGCCCTTCGGCTCAGTTGAACTGAAGGGCCACTGTATGGGCTGTGCACAATAGCATGTACAGCAGCCGAGGGCGGCCGAGCGGCTCAGCCGAGCCGAAGGCATTTGCTTCGGCCTGACTGAGCTGAAGTGTCAGCCAAAGTTGGACGAACGACCAGCCGAAGGCCAGCCTTTCGCCCCACAAGTGACAGCTGGGCGGAGCCAGCTGTGATCTCACCACTGGCTCTGCCACATTGAAATGACAGATCCAGTGGCGGAACTACCAGGGTCTCAGAGGTCGCGGCCTGGGCCCTGGAGTTCCGCCACTTGGAGGGGGCCCAGGACAGGAGGAAGGGGCCCCTGGTGACCGCTGATTACCAGGATATTTATTATCCCGGTAACCGCTAATGTTAGTCCCGGGACCTCTTCCTCCTGCCCTGGGCCCTACATGCTTCACGCTGCTCCCCTCACCTTGTTCCGGGCGCAGCATGAAGTATCATCCAGCTGGGCAGCAGCCAATGAGTGGGAGCGGTGTAATCCCTGCACCCTCATCACACAGAACTGCTGCATGCCGAATAGAGCTGCTCCGGACATGAAGGGGGAGACCCAGACAGGGAGCTGGAAGTATGAAGGAAGGTGACATGGGGTCCGAGAGCGGAAAGCTGGGGAGATGAAGGGGGAGATAATGGGGAGCTGGGGACATAAAAGAGGAGAGTGTTTTTTGTTTTTTTTTCACCTTGTCTAAATTTTGTTTTTAAAAAAAATCTAATTTGTCTCTTCTTGGGGGGGGGGGGATTTCAGGGATTCTTGCATCAGGGCCCTGAGGTCACTAGTTACGCCACTGGACAGATCAGTGTCCCCAAATGACCTGGGGATGCTGAACTGTCATTAAACAATAACAACTAGGCAAAGCCGGCCACGAAGTCACGGCCGGCTCCACCCAGTTGTTATTCATTGGCCAGGACCTGCTAGAAGACTCTAGCAGGTGCCAGCCAATAGGAAACAGTCAGGTGGAGCTAGCAGTCACTTTTTTGTTTTTTTATTATTATTTTTTTATTTTATTTTGTAATCTTTATTTATTTTTGTATTTTTACTATTTATTGACATTTTAAAAATATATTTTCAACTTTTTTCTCGAGACACTTTTCATTGATTTGCTATTCTGCTCAGTACTACGGAGGTACCGAGCAGAATAGCCAAGCCGAATGCAGCTCAGTGGCAATTGGCTATTCACTCACTGCAGTTCAGCCTCTATGTGAATGTTCGGCTGACCGAAGTGCAGCCTAAGGCAGCCCATGTACGGCTGATTTCAGCCGACATACGGCTGAAGTCAGCCATACTGAGCCGCAGTGAATAGCATGCATTGTAAGTGATTTAATCAGTATTTGAAATAGTTTAAAAACATTTTGACTTTAATATACCGTTAATAATAAGATTCACCTCAGAGATCCCTGACTTTTTTAAATGGATTCAACTTGTGGGCTTGTGCATTTATATGGGCTTCAAACTCCTCAACTCTTCAAATTTCAGTTGATCTTTAACTTTCTGGTCTTCGCAACAGAAGATTTGCAACACTGCCTTCGAGACAATAAAATGGATGCATTTTAGATTAGTTTTAATGTAAAATATTACTTTTGGCAGCCCCTGGAATGTCTCTGAGCATCACATTATTACAGCACTCACTTATTGTAGTGCTTTATCTTCATGCATATTAAATAGTTGAACATTGAAATTCATTTCCCTTGATGCCTAAAAAAGGGCAAGCACCAAACATGGCAATAATGCTTTATAAGTTATGGACACTGTTTAAATGGGGATTTCTGTATAGTAAAGGATTTTAAATGTTCTGTGTTAAATAATGCCTCCTTGCCAAATAAATGAAACTATCCAATAGATGAACCGTCTAAATTAACTCATACGCTTTCCCTCCTCATTCATGTTCCTCATATTTCCAGGACAAAATACAAAAGGAACTTTGTAATATCATTGGTTGCAAGGAGCAACACAGATAGTACTACTTTCTTAGCATACTTTTGAGCCATTCGATATAGAATTTAACTGTGACCAAATATTTCCTTGTGTTGCACTGCATTATAATTAGTAACCTGGGTAAAAATTAAAACAGTTACAAGCCAAAAAGAATTTGTCCACAATGGATAATGTATATGTGACTGATAACATGGTGCTTATTTTCATTTTGGTATCATTATATACAGTTAAAGTGACACTAAACTCAGGAGTTAAACCTCAAAATGCTTTCAAGTACCTTAACTGTTAACAATAATGTAGTTTAATTGTGTATCAGCTGTAGAGCCTCAAATAATCTCTGAATTGGTCACTCTTTACAACACACACAGGAACCACAGAAGCAAGAGAACACAAGTAGCCAACCTCCAGATTGAAGCACCAATTCAGAGATGATTTGAAGATCTACAGCAAATAAGATACATTTTTGTCAATAGTTATAGTGACATTAAACCCTCAGATTTTTTAACATAAACCAATACTGTAATGTGTGCCTTACTGTAATCCATGGTTGTTTCCCTTCTCTTTGTTTGCTCCTTGCAACCAATGATATTACAAAGTTCCTTTTGTAAAGGAAGAGCAGCAAAGAGAAGGGAAACAACCCTGGATTACAGTAAGGCACACATTACAGTATTGTTTTAAGTTAAAAAAATCTGAGGGTTTAATGTCACTTTAAGGTAATTGAAAGCATTTTTAAGATTTAACTGAGCTTAGTGTTACTTTCACTGAATATAATAAGATACCAAAATTAAAACTGTTAGAGGGAATGATAAAGGACTACTTAGTAGAGTTTGTTCATGATAATGGTATAATAAATCACAATCAGCATGGATTTAGGAAGGACCGTTCATGCCAGACCAACCTCCTAACATTCTACGAAGAGGTGTGGTGAGATCTGGATAGAGATAGGCTGGTGGATGTGGTATATTTGGATTTTGAAAGCATTGAACGCTTACTATACAATCTGAGGTCTATAGGCATAGATGAAATGTTGTGTACATGGATAGAGAACTGGCTACAGGAACATGTCCAGAGAGTATCTATAAATGGCTCCTTTTCAGATTGGTCTAGGGTCATGAGTGGTGTGCCTCGGGGTTCTGTGCTAGGCCCCATATTATTCAACCTGTCATTGGTTGCAAGGAGCAACACAGATAGTACTACTTTCTTAGCATACTTTTGAGCCATTCGATATAGAATTTAACTGTGACCAAATATTTCCTTGTGTTGCACTGCATTATAATTAGTAACCTGGGTAAAAATTAAAACAGTTACAAGCCAAAAAGAATTTGTCCACAATGGATAATGTATATGTGACTGATAACATGGTGCTTATTTTCATTTTGGTATCATTATATACAGTTAAAGTGACACTAAACTCAGGAGTTAAACCTCAAAATGCTTTCAAGTACCTTAACTGTTAACAATAATGTAGTTTAATTGTGTATCAGCTGTAGAGCCTCAAATAATCTCTGAATTGGTCACTCTTTACAACACACACAGGAACCACAGAAGCAAGAGAACACAAGTAGCCAACCTCCAGATTGAAGCACCAATTCAGAGATGATTTGAAGATCTACAGCAAATAAGATACATTTTTGTCAATAGTTATAGTGACATTAAACCCTCAGATTTTTTAACATAAACCAATACTGTAATGTGTGCCTTACTGTAATCCATGGTTGTTTCCCTTCTCTTTGTTTGCTCCTTGCAACCAATGATATTACAAAGTTCCTTTTGTAAAGGAAGAGCAGCAAAGAGAAGGGAAACAACCCTGGATTACAGTAAGGCACACATTACAGTATTGTTTTAAGTTAAAAAAATCTGAGGGTTTAATGTCACTTTAAGGTAATTGAAAGCATTTTTAAGATTTAACTGAGCTTAGTGTTACTTTCACTGAATATAATAAGATACCAAAATTAAAACTGTTAGAGGGAATGATAAAGGACTACTTAGTAGAGTTTGTTCATGATAATGGTATAATAAATCACAATCAGCATGGATTTAGGAAGGACCGTTCATGCCAGACCAACCTCCTAACATTCTACGAAGAGGTGTGGTGAGATCTGGATAGAGATAGGCTGGTGGATGTGGTATATTTGGATTTTGAAAGCATTGAACGCTTACTATACAATCTGAGGTCTATAGGCATAGATGAAATGTTGTGTACATGGATAGAGAACTGGCTACAGGAACATGTCCAGAGAGTATCTATAAATGGCTCCTTTTCAGATTGGTCTAGGGTCATGAGTGGTGTGCCTCGGGGTTCTGTGCTAGGCCCCATATTATTCAACCTGTTCATTAACGATATTGGGGAGGGCGTGAATAGCCATGTTTCCGTGTTTGCTGATGATACTAAAATCGGAAGGGTAATAGACACGGACTTAGACAGTAGAACATTACAGGAGGACCTGGATAAAATAGGAGAGTGGGCAACTATATGGCAAATGAGGTTTAATGTCGATAAATGTAAAGTAATGGACTTTGGGGTTAAAAATAGGCAAACGGAATACACATCAATGGGTACTCCTCTAGGGAAGTCAGAAATGGAAAAAGATCTGGGGGTCATAGTAAACCACAGATTGAATAATAGCTTGCAATGCCAGGCTGCTGCAAACAAAGCGAGCAGAGTTCTGGCTTGTATTAAAAAGGGAATTTACTGTAGAGATAAATCTATAATTTTATAGATCGCTAGTTCGACCTCATCTGGAGTATACGGTCCAGTTTTGGTCACCAATACACAGAAATTATGTCCTTGAGCTGGAAAGAGTCCAGAGAAGGGCAACCAAACTAATTAAGGGGATGGAGGACCAAAGCTATGAGACAAGGTTACTAAATTTAAACATGTTCACGCTGGAAATGAGGAGATTAAGGGGGATATTATTTTGATGTACAAGATGTTCAATGGGGATAGCAACGTTAGCAATAAACTTTTTACGGTAAACTCCATAACAAAGACTAGAGGCCACCACCTAAAATTGGTGGAGAAAAGATTTCAGCACAAGGGGTGAAGGGGCTTCTTCTCAGTTAGAGCGGTTAAGGTTTGGAACTCACTGCTGCAAGCAGTAATTTCAGCTCGGAGTGTTGATTCATTCAAAAAGCATGTGGACGATGTCCTCAGAGACCAAAACATTCAGGGGTACAGGTACTCTAAAGAACAAGATCAAACATTATCCATTGTGGACAAATTCTTTTGGCTTGTAATTGTTTAGTGCCACTTTAAGCTGTTTTTCAAACAGCCCTAGAATAGCATATTTAATATTCAGGACAGGCCATAGAAAAAGTCTTCCTTAACATAAAGGATTGCTAGATCTCTCATTACATTACTACTGAGGTTTTTGGTGCTGTCAGCATGTCTCAAAATGTAAAAAAATTGTTGCAGTTATCTAAATGTATTTCTTATTATACTTCCTTTTGTTTTTTAACAGGACCACCGGTGAATGTCACATGCAATATATTTGTAAACAGCTTTGGGTCAATTGCTGAAACCACCATGGTAAGTAATTGCAAAGCCTGGCATAAGTACATATTATATTGTTTAATACACAAAGAAATGTCATATCGCAATCAAAGGCGGGTTCAGCTTTGACTTACCTTGGGTTATTTACAAGTTTGGAATAATAACTGCAGAAATGTGTTTGTGTTTCACGTATGAAATATAATATTTGTTTTTTGTCATGTAATATTTCCTTCAGTTCTTCCTGTATTGGTGCAGGTTGCTGTGGAGGTGTACAATGGATCTGTAGCATCACAATTAAAATGGCAGTGATCAGAACACAGCCTTAACTTAAAATGACCTCTCTTTTGTATATGTCATATATACTTAGTTAATTAAATGGCATCATGAAAAAGGTGTCTGTCTTGGATTTTCAAAATTTCATGAGTAATGTGAAGTCACTTCCAACTTTAATAAGTTGGAAGTGACTTCACATTACTAATTGTAGAATTCAACTCCTGGTCATACCGGCTATATGACTGCCCAGAAAAAGTGGAAACACAACAGTGAGAGTGATACGTTTACTACCTCCACATTAAAGTGTTTTAGCACTAATCTAAATGGTTTTCCTTAGAGTATGATTTATTTGCAAGGTGCATGGGATGGTATTTGGTAGTTTTTGCAATGTTTTTGCTTTATTTTCTTGTCATTGGTAGATAATCTCTAGTGTGACAAAGTATTTTGAGCCATTAAATATGAACTCCGGGCACAAAAACTTTCATTTCAAATTAGATATTTATTTAAATATATTCCTCAAAAGCTGCAAAGGATCTAAATCCACTTTGTGAGCACCAAATATTTTGGAGATAATAGCATATAAAAGTAGCAATAAAATCATCACTGTGGAGATAGCAGAGCTGTGGGAGGGGCTCAGCAGTCCACACCCACTACAGAAAATGACAGAAGTGGGCGGAGATAAGACCAGTCACCCTGAACAAGGAGAGGAAACAGCAGTGATTGGTCTTTATTGAAGGATGCTCCTGCACAAAGACAAAGTTTCACAGATTAATGGATTAATACAGAGATCTGGAAGAAATACACTAAGCACACCAAGATTAAAGTAAGTATACACATGATTCTCGTATTTAGTCAACATTTGCTTATCCAGACGTTCAGCTTTAGACAATGGCTGTGATGTATGGTTTATTACAGATAAACTGTTCTAAATAAATAAGTATTCAAAATGTATTTGGGGAAGGTTCAAAGCCCCTGTCATGTTTTTATTGTTGCCTGTGCTCCAAGCTGCCTGATTCACCCTTTCTGTTTGCCATGGTAACCAGGAACTGCTTCCTGTTGTGTTTCCAGGACAATAAGTGAAAAGAAATCTCCTCATAGAACACAGGTTTCTGTATGGGTACCTACAGAGTCTTTCTATGCTTTATTCATTTATATGTAGCTAAACTATATTTATGAATTTGGTACCCCATATATGAATCATGTTCATCCTTTATTATTACTAATAGAATATAGACCATAAAAAAGAAAATTACAGGGCTTCCAACCCTTTCCTAATCTGGCAGTTGATAATGAGGCAAAGTGCTTTATCAAACTAAGGAGCTGATTGCTGCCGCCACCAGCTACCCCAGGCTTCACTGTCTCCCGTGTGTGTTTTCTAGTCAAAAAGTCTGATATTATCATGTGTGTGCTAATAGTAGATCCGAACAGCAAGTGGTTAAATATATATATATAGGAAAATCCTATGCTTCTCGGTTCCATCTAGTGGCAGTAATGTACTTGGAACAGCTATACGCTGGCTGTGCACATGTGTTATTACCCAGCCCCATCATTTTATCCAGTAAGAGTTTAAATTGTTGTTATGCTATTGTGCCTTAAACTAGCAGCTCAGCAGGATTAATAAATTAACACCACAGTGTTTACATTGCAATTAACCTTTTTTGCTTACATCTTTTTCTGAAATATGTGTGCTAGTATTTGCTTCTTTCTGAAACATATTTGTCATGGTGGATGCTATTGTTTTGATCCTGACAGTAGACTTTTTTATACTAAATAGCAATGTTCTTGAAAACTATTTATTTGAGTTCTCTGTTGGCAGTTAATGTAAGGTTGTTAGAACTTGAAGGACAAGAAAACACACTGAGCTGTGTGGTGAGTTCCAGGAAATCATCTATTATTATATGATCAAGCAATAATTCTGAAAGCAGCTGAGAAAATACAGAACATAGTAAAGCAATAAACAAAAAGGTCCATATTATTATAAGATCTGCATACTTGTTGTTTGGTCAAAAGCTAAAGCACATATTAATAATAGCTAAAAAAATCAAGCCTATTTGAAAGATCGGCAATTTTATTTAAACTGATTATAATGCAACTTAACCTGGCTGTCACGGTATCTCTCTCGTTAACAGAGTTAGTAACTCTGAATTCGCTGTCATTTGTGCTGTATGGATCACCCAGAGTAATTCATGTTTGATTTTCTGTGTGGACCATCATAAATCACACCAAACAACAATACTAACATTGACAAGTAGTTGCATGGACCATAAGCTGCCATAGCTCTATACTGAAAGTACGGTACATCTTCAGGTGACATCGAGAAATGCTGCATTGGCTGCATGGAATGTTTTGCTATTTGTTGTAGAGATCAGCAAGCCTGGAATAGAGAGGAATAATTTTTTTGACAGAATAAACTTTTCATGACCTTACCTTCAGCATTTTCTTGTATCCTGATTAGGGAGATTCCCTCTCTCTAATTGTCTTGATCACCAATGTCATAAAGAATGAAAATGAGGGTAAATCCAAAATTTGAGTTGCCACAAGAAAAGGAGGAAATCTACCAACGGGGACACTTGACAAATATTTGAGAGGGGATTTCACTCACTTTGGAAAGATATGCTCTCACATCCTATTGATTCTACAGGACAGGAAGTGAAAAAAAAACCCTGACCGTAGTATTAACCTTCCCCCTCTCTATAGAGAATTTTTAAAAAAACATGGTAAACATTGTTATACTTTAACAAGTTTATCTGGAATATGTAAAGTAAACCACTACTCATTTTATAAAAATGTAAATAATAATATATCCCATTACTTGTTTGACTGTTTCAACTGAGCACTGATTTATTATTCAGTAAACATTATGTAAATCACTTTAATATGTTTTTAAGATTTCTCCAGTTGCTGTATATTTTGATGTGGGATTTTGGACTTTGAAATCATATTAAAAAATTGCTGCTGCTGCAATTACTACTGGCCTTGGCATATTTGTTCTTTAAGGGAATCTGCAGTCGTGTTAATAGTGTTTTTTTACATGTACATGTGATAACGAAAAGTTAAAAAAATGTTTTATAAGTGTAGTTGTTTATATTATGAGTACATGGGAAGAGGCACATTTATTTTTACATTTACAATTGTATACACTGCTTCCCACTTTTGCTACACATGGTGTTTTTTTTACTGTTACTTTTTAGGCTACATGCACATGACCATAAGAAATGTTCTGATAATATATACATGTCTTTTTCTGGCCAAATGATAGGTAAAATGCATGCGTTTAGATGCATTTAGACACATCATCACCAATGCAATTAAATGCACAAAATTCCATTCTATTTTTTGTGCTCTGTTTTCAATGTAATTTTGTCATTTGCACTTAATTTACATGCATTAGTGAGCATACACAAAAACACGCATATGCAAGAATTGCAATGTTTCGGTTTGCACAGGGTCCCTTCATCAGGCAAACAAACTGATTAGGAATTTTGGTGTACTGGTGACTCAATTTGTGCATGGTGCCATCTGTTTGTCACTGCAGAACCCACCAGAGACTATCAGCAGTACAGCAGAAGTCAGAGAGAGGGATCAAGGCAGAGAAGCAGCACAAGGAGCCAGTCAGGTCAGGAGCCAGTCAGGTGTGCAGCATTGCTAGAATCAATGTTGATAGAATTAGATAACAAAATGTATAAAACCAATCCTGCTCCTAAAAATTTCAGGCATTAGATATGAAACAATTTAGGTCGAGTTCTGCATTAAGTCCATAGGGCTTCAAAAAACCTGCTTTAAAAATCCATTGGGTTTCTTTTTTTGCTAACTGACGTTTCCAATTCCACCCTCTCCCGTGTCTAGACACCTTTTCTATTCCCCAGAACTGTAATAAACCTGTTTTTTTTTAATGTACCTGCAGAAAGTGTTTAGAGACAGAATGATCTTTATAACCTCGTTTGATGTTATAAACGTGCTCTTTAATTCTGGTGCCTAATTTTCTCGTGGTGCAACCAATATGTTGCAACCCACACGGACATTGTAAACCATAGATCACACCCTCTGTGTTACAAGATATGAAATCTCTAACTCACTTGGTGGAGGTGAAAGGTCTGCCTGCATTGTGTGATTATCCTTACCTGAGAGTTATATGCAGATTGGCTGCGAATCATCTGAGGAATTTTTTTTGCACAATCACCATTGTTTGCTTTTGTTTTTTCCTTGGGACTTCTTTTTTTGTCTATATTGCTTTTTTGTCTTTGCGTAGATATTTTCTATGCCTCATTTGTTTGAAGGCTCA